AGACTCTCGCTGCCTATTGTGGGTTTGAAGATATCCTCCCTCCCAATTTTTGCATTGAAATCTCCTAGCAGAATTTTCATGTGATACTTGCCAAATGTATCAAATACTGATTCCAATTCTTCATAAAAGCTATCCTTGATATCATCACTTTTGTCCTCAGTTGGGGCATGAACATTAAGGACAATGATGTCACACCAACGTCCTTCCAAAATTACATAAGACAACCAGTCACCAACAAATTCTACTCTCTTAACTGCTGCCCTAATTCTGCTATGAACAAAAAAACCCGTCCCTAGTCCCTAACTGATGATTGTCATTCCCCTTTCCATAGAAAAATGTAAAATTGTCCACTGGGATCGTGCCCTCCCCCTCCCATCACACTTCCTGCACTGCCACTAAGTCTAACTTATAATTCTCTAATTCCCTACTCACGGATTTCAGTGCCCCAGCCCTATAGAGGCTCCTAATGTTCCAAGTACCAAATCTCATGTCCTTATTTAGCCATGGTCGTGCCAAAGAGTCCATCCTGATCCGAGGCTTGGTTGATTTTTTCGTAACATAGCTTTTTTTTAAAGGTGAAAGGTTGTTAGCCTTACACCCAACCCCCAACCTGGAGGACCAGAGTATCACTCTTAGTCAAGCCTCCTCACTCAGCAGATTGCCTTCAACAAGGTGGTGATACATTCTTAAATGATTCATTCATCTTGAGTTGCTCATACATACAAGATTGCATTTTGTTTGGTTTAATTTTTGTTTTTAGTTGCATTCCCTGAATCTCTGGTGATCTTAATTTCTTCTGAATGCAATTTTTATTTGTTATTATCGCCACATTTTCAAAGGATTTATTTGCTATGTCTACTGTAAAAGAGAAAGAACATTACAATGTTATTTACTCAATGTGATCACAATAATTTTTCATGAAAGTAGCTGCAACAGACTTTTGTCTGACAACTGCCAGATTAAGACACTGATTAAATGATATATAATGTGGGTTCATTCTAAGTAATTGACCAACAACACACAACCAACTGGATTGTGCATATGCCAGACACAACACTGATAAGGTTAATTAAAAAGCAATTTCTGAAACAGCACGGATATCTACTAAATAATTTTAAAATGTTTTACCAAACACGTTTGAACCGAATAAAATTACAATAAATAAATTTACTGTCTCAGATAATTTCATAGTTTTACAGTAAAATACAAGATAAATATACTGAGACATCGAATCAATTTACAATAGTGGTTTAGAGTCCAAATCAATATAAATGCAAAATCAAATACATATATATTTACAATGTTGTAATATTATACAAAAGGAAAAATATAAACCAAGTCACCTGAAGACAAACAGAAAAAAAATGAAACTTAATTACTATCCTTGGTATATCACCATTTGTTTTAACTTTCTTTTGCCACCTGCCTTTGAACATTCCCTTCTTCAAATCAATTTGAGGAGAATTATAATTGTCTTCTACATTAAAATATATACAAAGTCAAATGCAAAAGCCTTTTATAAAATCTAATGCCATATTTTCTTAAATAAGCCCAGAATACTTTGGGAATAAAAACCAGGTCCTGGAATTTGAATCACACAGCATATTATAAAAAATTATTCTTGGGCTACCAGCTGTGTAAGGTGGTTTAATGAAGAAAACTTGTTTCGAGAACCATCTTCATCGTCGTCCTCAGGGTACTGTACAGTACCCTGAGGACGAGGACAAAGATGGTTCTTGAAACAGAGTTTTCTTCATTAAACGCCTTACATGGCTGGTAGTCCAGGAATAGTTCATTATATTTAGTCGCCATGAAAGCTTCAGATCATACACACAGCATATTGCTTTACTGGATATGGGGGAGGAGTGACTGCTTTACTTGTTACTGCATTAGTACCCTGTGGTAATTAAAAATCATACTTGGAATGTCTAAATGTATATGCATATTATAATACAAGATTTTCAGAATAATAATATATCATTTTACATCACCCTTTTGGGTCCACTAAAGAACAGTGCTCACCACAATGACACAACTACAGAATGTTAAAAACTATGTAGAAAAATACTTTACTTACATCATATTTTTTAGAGACACATACATTTTAAACAAAATTAACAATGAAACATATGTTCAGCCATTAGGAGATACTCCAATTCATGAAAAGAGAATCTACACGTATTTGAATATCGCACGAATGTATGAATTAAAAATCAGTAAGATAATCTTACAGTAGAAAACTTTGTATGTTAATGATAAACTGTACTGAACACCAACATCTGGCAACAAAGATGACAATGCATTTGCGGGGGGTGGGGTGGGGGGGTACGATGTTACATACAAAGGAAGCTGAATTTACTAGCTACCATTAACACTTCAAACACTGGGAATTTTGCATACAAAGTACCTGTTACTTGGACACTTCTGTTTCATACCTGTATGCTTCATAGATATTGAAAATAAAACAATATAACCTTCAGTACAGTGTATAAAATGAGCCAGCGCAGCTGTCAGTATAGTGACTGATTACAGACTGGACGACCAAGGTTCGATCCCTGGCAGGGGCAAAGGATTTTTCCTCTACCCTCTGTGTCCAGACCAGTTCTGGGGCCAACCCAGCCTCCTATCCAATGGGTACCAGGGTCCTTACCTGGGGTAAAGCACGGCCAGGGCGTGATGGTGACCACTCACCGCCTTCTAGTGCTGAGGTCAAAAATGAGTAGGAGCTATACTGCTTCTCCCCCCAAGCGCCTACATGGCGTATAGTGGGACAGCTTTGCTTTGCTTTACTTTACTTTTACAGTGTATAAAATAAACATAATTTCTAACATTAATGAGTGATAAAATGACAAAAATTTTGTTATAAAGTTTTTAGATAGCCGCCACAATTTTACCTTTTGAGATTGATAGGGAAATTCCAAATATAAGAATTCTCCATTCACCTATTATTGTTGTCTTCTCTTGACCAAAATTGACAGTGCACACAGATTTTAGTAAACTCCCCAACACCAACTTTCATCGAAACTCTGTATGGCCATTCTCGAGTTATATGCATAACAATGACATCTGTTGGATGCAAAGTGGGCTAGAAGTATGGATGCATTATTACAACACTCAGCTCCTCCAGATCATTATATACTAACTTAATTTGACATTGGGAGGATGCAAAGAAAAATTGATGTCTTCTGGGTTGTTACGCCGTGTAGTATGATAGATGTCCACCAACGTTTCAGAGGTCATACTGCCTCCGTCATCGCCCTGATGATGGAGGCAGTTTGACCTCTGAAACGTTGGTGGACATCTATCATACTACACAGTGCAACAACCCAAGAAGACAGCAATCTTCATACACACTGCTGTGAAAACCTAAAATCCTACATAGATGCAAAGAAAGTTAAGCAAACAGTGTGAAGATAACTGGGAAGAAGGGCTTATTCTATGACTGAGTAAAATCATGAGAGAACCACCTATTACTAGACACTATTTTGTGGGGGAGGGAGGGAAGTAGTATAAGGATGCATTACAATGTATAAGATAAAAGATAATGTCTGAAAAGTTATGGCACCAAAGGAGTGAAATGTCAGTAGTACTACAAATTTTGAAGTAAATGAAGCAGAAATGCTTCAAGATGAGCCAATGGAAGTCAAATAGTTTTACTAGATAATAGTGGTAGCTTTTCCATATGAGAATATTTATGAGCAGAATGTGTGTTCATTTTTAAACATTGTCTCACATGAAAATGATATGCTGGTGTTCATATAGCAATATGTATCCTGACATAGAAGTACCAAATAAAACAACAGTACACCAACAGGTAATAGAATTTTGGGATAGAGATGTGTTTGTCTGTGACTGGTACTCATTCAGTGAAAGAAAGTTTAAATTACGACTGTACCAACAATATCAAGTGCAGTGCTTCAGCTGCAACAATGGGGTAAGGCTACAAGATTACAATATTGCCATTGGTTTCACCACTTTGAGTGTTAAGGGGTTCACATGTGGAAGTAATGACATGTTTCAAACAGAACATTCTGTACATAGATGTTCACACAACTACCATGAAAAAAATTATCTGAAAGAAAGAATTTGCTTCATAAAACAATTACTGTCTGAAGGTAATTTATTTTTGAACTGTGAAAACTGAACACTGGGAAGATAACACATGGTCCAAGTTGACTGATATAGTCTATGCTACTATATACCTGAACAACTTTGGGGGGGGGGGGGGGGAGAGAGAGAAAGGAGAGAGTTAGCCCTTATTCTGAACAACATAAAGATACATACTATCTTACATGGCAAGTCCAGCAAAAAAGCTGTGTAAACCTCTTATTTTGATGGTCCTAATAAGACAAAACATAAATATTCAGAAGTAAAACTTTGTCTTGTTAATAGCCTACTGGCTGTATCAGCAGTGATCTCAGATTACAGCATTATCACCTCCTTATAACCTCAGCATCACTTCACAACAATTATGACATAAAGAAGTAAAAACAGGAAAATAAATACAAAATAAATTAAAAACAATGCATCTTCTTTTATTCTTGCAAGGAATTAAAATAATGACAGCTGTATGAAATATATTTTAGATCTGCTATGGAAAAATATTGTAAACATCATTTCAACAGCAAAACTAGAGGACATTTCACAAAGCAACAACACCTTCAAAATCTTAATGACATGTTTTGACATTTGCTTTACTCAACAGCACCTAAGTCCGAACACTCATTCTCAGTAATAAGCTTGAAGTTATTCATCTCTGCAAACCCAATAAATATGAACATGTTAAATGATGTTAAATATGTTCAAATGAAAATGGCTGAAGGTGTTTAATTAATCTTTATTTTAAATTAGTATTATTGGATTTCTGGTTTTTGTCCACTGTTCAATATTCCAAAAAGAACATGTTTTGGACACTGGTTTGTTTCCATCTTCAGGTGAAAAGGCAGAGAATACCTACTCAGATGAGTCCATTAGAAAGATTGGACCAGACAAGTGACCCAAAAGTCCAGTGATTTTGATTAGCTCTTTCTAACAGAACCAACTGAATAGGTACTTCCCACATTTTTCCTGCATAATGGATGTTCATTTTGGAATACAGACAACAAACAAAGTCCATAAATCAAGTAATACTAATTGTAATATACAAACCTCAAACCATGCAGAATTGGATTTTTGTTCTTCTAAAATGCAGCTTCTGAAAATGGAAAATCAGCTGTATATATTTGTTACAAGGGAACATTATAGTAACCATGGTACAGTCAGACTTTAGAAATGAACTACTCAAGACATGTTGAAGCTTAACTCAGTGACTTATACGGTTTAATGTACATATTTTCTTTTCACTGGTTCTTATATCTCCTTTCAGAGAGGTTATGTTTGGAACAGGAATTCCAAAATTATTTATTTACATACAGCAAACTGTGATGCAGAGAAGGGATAACAACTTAATACTTACAATTTCAATCTCATATACAAATCTTATGTTGAAAGATACAGGCGATGGTAGTCATTAGCACCAAAGGCTGCGTTGCACTTTGGACACTTCCTTTGTCTGGTTTCATACCGAGTACGCAGACAGTCCCAACAAAACACGTGAAAACATTTGCTGAGTACAGCATCTTTACGTTTAACTTTACAAGAAGGACACGTTAGTGTTTCTTTGTATTCACGTATCTCTTCCATCATCACTTCATCTAAGGTTCCTGCCATTTCTATTTTCTTCATGCGCTCTGCCTTGCGACGCAACTGTGCTATTTCTTCCTGTAGAGAAAATAAAAACTGTTCACATGCATAAAACCACCAATTTTAAAGATTTATTTGTATAATGACTGTCTACCTTGCACACAGACATGAGAATGATGTACTCTGATCCCAACATATCTTCCAGATGTTTTGAAATTTATACTAACCGACAAGAGGCTTCTGGAGGTGAGATGGGAACACTCCAACATGATATTGCAATATGATAACCATTTCTGAAGTTCTTCTCTGTGAGAACACATATTATTGAAATAAGGATATCAGCTCACAAAAAGCAGTTCATATTTTTAGCTGAAACTGACATATCCAATCTGCAAAATCCTTTAACTGTTTGCTGATGTGGGACATTCGTTTCTTTGTTTTTAATTATAATTTTTTTTACCAAAATTTAATGTTGTTATAAATGTGAATGATTTCATTTCTTGTATTGAAAGGGATATTATTACATTAAATTTAGAACTGTGCAATCAAGTGGGAATGGTGCATTTCAATATTTAGATCCCCATCCATATATACACTACTTAATAAGTTTATTATAAATATCTAACAAATACACAATATCAGTCCAACATGGCTCTCTGGGTAGCAGGAACTCATATTTTATGATATTATGTAAAGCCTTCAGGTAGCAGCCCAGATCATTCTGTCACACAACAGACAAGCTGTTGCTGAAAGTGGTGAAATGAAACACTTTCAGAAGCTTAAAATCTAGTGTTACTGATGAGAACAGAAAACAGCAGGCAGTTACCAATGTTTCGGAGGAATGTACTGCCTCAATCTTCAGCATAGTAGTTCACTTACTTCTACTCTGAAGGTGGTGATACATTCTCTGAAATGCAAACAGTGGTAACCACCTACAAGGACCACAATCTACACTATATATTTGGGTGCACTGATGAAAGATTGTAGTTTTAAGACTGAATTGTATATAAACATATTAATAAAACAGGATCATGGAAATAGTTTTTAAAAATCTTAGAAGAGGCAGCAATCAAACACAGATTCTCTATATATAAAAACAAACAAGAATACTGCATCTTCTGAACTGAAGGTAGCAAATATTCCCTGCACTCAACGTGTTTGTAAATGCAATTTTGATTTGTTACTGTCATCCCCAAATATCTGAACTCTTCCACATTTTCAAAGATTTATTAACTGCCTTTAATTTGTTAATAAACAATAATAATACAAAATTTCACAAAATGAAAAGAAATTGTTGAATATTTATGAACACCTAAAGGGAAATAAAAATATTTAGTGAAATAAGATTTTATTAATTGAATATGTAGGTGATAGTCTTCTGAAGCATAACTGCATACAAACTACATTGTATCACAATTCAAAAAAACCATACCATTCTAACGTTCACTATATCAAAATTCCACACTGTAAGAGAATACTTGTTGCCAAAGGCAAAAAAAGGCCTATATAAATGGACTACCAGCATACTTCTTGACAAGTATCAGGAGGTGCCCCTCCACCCCGACTTAAAAATGAATGACTACAGATATGAACAAAACTTGAGCAAGTGGTGTAGATCATATATAATTATGTGTACAAAAGTATTCATTCAGTTAGGCTGAATCATTATACAGAAAAATATTTGCCATTTTTAATGCTAATTCATAATTCAATCAACTGTTTCTGTTTTAGTTCATTCTTCTACTTTGGTCACTGTTGGTGTTTAGTTGTTTTTGGTTTTAGTTCTTTGTTTGCGGATCCTTTGCATATATTTTTGTTGTACATTTTCGCACTGAAATCAATGTTGAACAGGAAGACCTTTGGTTTCCTGGATGGCAGGCAGACACAGTGTTTTCTTGTAATGAGAGAAATTGCTTAAGCACAGTAGAAACATCAGAGAGAACTGTTTCAGCTCCCAGACTTACTGCAATGACTGAAAATGTGTAGCCTATTATATCAGAAGAAAACATCTAATCAGCCAATGGAAAAGATGGATCTGAGCAATCAATCCAAGAAAACAGGGTTCCTATTCAACGTTAATTCCAATAAAAAATGCAACCAAATTACAATATATACTTTTATATACAACAAATTGACTGAACTGAATAAATTTATCTCTACACATACCTAAGTACACTCCACAACTTTCAAGTTTAATTAAAATCCATAGATCTACTCATTCTTACAATTTAAAGAATATATTATTTTGCATTACCTGGCACATTAAAATCAAACTAAAAAAATGTCTTCTAAACTGTAAAATTTTATGGCAACAAACAGTTTTCACCATACCAAATATTTTGAGAATGCCAAATTGATAACATATGCAAGTGGACTGCACTAAATACTTCTGGATACATTTTTTTAAGAACTGAAAGTAATGAAATCAATTAATGTCTATGAAAGTAGCTATTTTTAAACTGTGGGATGACACCCCAGATGTGTCATGAGGATGCCTTATATGGGTCACAAATTTAAAGACGTTTCAGTTACATTTTGCTGTTGCAGAGAAGTATTTAGCACACATGCAAGCTGAAGATTCCACCCACATGTTTGAGTCAGGAGATCAGATTCACATTTCAATATTACAGTACTAGAACCAATGATAAAAATGCTCTACAAAAGAAAACTGTTTAAATGTTACATTGAAAACATTACCTGAAGTCTTTTTGTTTTATAAGCTTCTGCTTCTAATGAACTTGTCTTCTCTGCTACAACTTGCTGTGCCTCTTTCATTTGAGCATGGTACTTTTCTGCAATACAAATTTTATATTAGTCCTAAATGGTCGTCAATAGACATGGTTCTGTAGGCAGCTCCTTTTGGGACAAAAAGAGGTTTATCCTGACAAACCCTTCTCCAAAGGGAAGTAACAATACTGGGACACTTTTGTGGCTGTCAGTTTCTGAACCCTGCCAATTCTATCTGCTTAACTGCTTTAACCTGGACGAACACCAATTGGTTATAAGCCTTAGACACATTTAGTCATGATAGGTCTCATTCCATTCACAAGAAAACACATACTTTATAACTCTATAGATGAGACATGTCTACAGGTGTCTTTCTAGCTCGTTTGCTTGCATAATTCCAATAAGCAGTCTTAGACATGCCGACATGGACTACATTTCCTTTGTATTATGATGGCAAATTGTGCATCAGAATTCGTCAGTACATTTGTTAACAACTTAGGAAATGCATGTAGCTCAGTCAGTATAACAACTGACAACGGACTGGACGACCGGGATTCGATCCCCGATGGGGGCAGAGGATTTTGCCTTTAGCCTCTGCATCCAGAATGGTTCTGGGGCACACCCAGCTTCCTGCTCCATGGGTACCCACTGACCACTCACCCCCATCTAGTTCTAAGGTTAAGAATGAGTAGGAGCTATATCTCCTCTCCCCCCAAGTGCCTACATGGCATAGAGTAGGACAGCTTTACTTAGTAACAATTCTGATGTGCTTGTCAGAATTTTATCTTGACTATTAACCATGGTAACCAAAACTATCCAACCAGATGCTTCAGTGCTCAGAAATGCTGTAGGTCTTCAGAGTGCCTGATTTTAACCTAAACTAAAATATACTGAAAAATTTTAGATCTCCCAGTACCAAATTTCATGAAAATCTATTCATCCACTCTAGACTTGTTTAAATGAGCTCTGCAGGGATATGAATGCCCATAAAAACCCTGACAATTTATAGGAAGTGCCATTAGAATGGAATCTAAACCTGTTTACAACTTTTTCTTTTTTTATGAACATTAACATACCTGTAATGTGACTTGATTCTGTGCAATGGCTGTTGTCACTTACAACATGCACTTTATTTTTAAGAATTTTGTTTGGCAGAAGGAACACAAATCAAACAGAGAGAAGAACTGGTGTGTCCATGTATCTTTTGAACAGAACTCTGAAAGGATTCTTGGTGGAAACTTCAAAGTGGTGAGAAGATACGGTTTCCGTTCTTATTAACTATCAATTTAAAATTACATAAATATTATATGGTAACTACATGTCCATCATTCAGAGAAATACAATACAAAAAGTGTGTGCGCTACAGAAAACACATTGCTGGTAGCTGACGGCAAACCCCAGGACTATATGACTTCATTCTGAGTTACATTCATCCTAATTAGAGCAAGAGTTGGTGACTGCAATGAGATGTAACTTATGAGACTAAAACTGAAATTTTATGCTCTGTTTACAACAGGACATTCCACAGAAAATATTTTTTGGAAAAAACCTTGTAAATGTACTTAAACTGAATAAATAAAAAGTAAACTCCCAATTATCTGGTTTGGTTGGGAAACATATTTTCTTGGACAATCAAAAACCCTGAATCATAAGCAAAAATGAAATAAAACATGCAAATGTAAGTTTATTTACAGACATAACTATTAAAATCTTTAAAGATTTAATAATAACAGAAAGGATTTCATACAAAATGTAATACAAAACATAAAATCTATGTTTCAAAAGAATTTCAACAAATAATAATAATAATGTTCTACTGTTGTAAACTTCCAGTTTTAGCAATAATTGACTTATGATACTACATTAAATAGTATGTCATCATTGTAGTCATTCCTTTCTTTTTAACATTCTAACTTTTACAACAGAATTTCTAAATTAATTTTTTTAAAGCAGTCAGACTCCCGGTTAATCCGCCCCCAGATAATCGGGAGTATACTGTATTGCTGCATTTCTTTTACATCAATAATTCTTTTGCGCTCTTCAAGAAGAGCTTGAATCAACATAGACTGTTTGACTTAAGCTCCTCTTATCAAGCACTAAAGAATTAAAACCTAATGTTTTATTTTATGAAATGTGGACTTTTGTAAACTTACTGCAAAAGAAAAGCTTCTTTTACTGTGTAATAATTAGCAGTGTTTTCTGTCATTAATCCTGCACAAATCCCAGTAAACCTTCTACAGGTTCTAGCATCATTTGCATAGAACTTTAAAACTTACCCCAGTTAAAGCTGAATTCAAGAATTAAATTTTGTGGGATACTTTTATCATTCCCATCCTGAACATATGGATGAAACCAATACCTACTCCTACAAAACAAAGCTCGTAATGGGATAAGTATTTCAATGGAAAAAGGTACATAAATCATTTGGAACTTACTTTCTATCCATTATTATCCAGACCTAACTATGACAAGGCACTTTTGTGATAAGTCAAACTGGCAGAGAAAATTTTACAGTGACTGAAACACACTTACAGATCTTAGTACACATTTTACAGAGAAACAAAGACAAAATGATGGCCTGCACATCATACATCGAGAAATTATATGGATTGAAAGGTTAATCTGCCATACTACGAGCAATTTGTGGACCCTGTTTTTGGTGATCGCACCAAGCAGATGTGGACTCTATTGCTGATATTTTTTAGATCTTTCATGTCTTCACCTTGAAGGTGAAGTGACTAATGATTTCAGTCTTCTGGGTTATTGCACCGTGTAGTATCGTAGATTTCCACTGTTTCAGAGATCATATTGCCTCCATCATGATAAATTGCCCTGATGACGGAGGCAGTATGCCCTCTGAAACGGTGGAAATCTACCAGATTAGATGGCGCAATAACCCAGAAGACTGCAATCTTCAGACTCACCACTGTGAAAACCTCAAATCCTACACGTGAATTGACTACCCGATGGTCCTTGCCAGCACGAATAGTAAATCATCTGTACACATTTTAGAAACTACTGACAAAAATATCCATTCTTTGCATTGTTTATTTTCATAAATGCAGCATATAAGGATTCTGACACATATTTACCACACTCCACCCATCTTCATCCACAATTTTAATAAACTCCAGAAATCTAAGATCACACTTTTAAAACTGTTAGACACACAACAAAACTATGTCAAGCTTTCTTTCAGCCCCATGTTGGGCTTATGATCCTTCCTGCAGATGAATCTACCCTAACACTGACACACCCAACTGGAATATATTAATTATTAGCTGAATTCTTATGCAAAAAGTTATGTATTTCTGGATTTTTATGTAAAAGCACCAAAACATAATTTTCAAAATTATTTTCTCCACATTACATATTTAGTTTTAAAACAGTGACAACTCCAAATCAAAACCAAAAGTTGCACATATTAAAATAACACAAAAGGTCAGTTTCTGTGTGGTATAAAAAAAGAAAATTAAGGTTTCTGATTTTATCTGCAGTGTACCTCAACTTACACAGGAATATTTTTTACTGAAAATTTGACAAATAATGCTGTTACATAGTAAAAGTCTTACTTAAACTTGTATTTATGCTGTAAAATTCCAAAATCTAGACAATGTCCATTTCTGACATACTGCATCAAAATCATCTTTCCAGGGTATTCATTTCTTCAAATACAAGTTAGATGCCTTTATTCTACTACTCACATCACGAACACCAGAAGACTGTCTTCTGAGTCCAATGTTGTTTCATGGTTGAATCTGTTCATGCATTCGTGCATGCATAAGGGCATGGTTGGTGAGGAGGTGCAATGGGAAGCAGAGGACAGAAGATCTCTGACCATGTGTATCAAGTTTCAGGAAAGGTCAGTTAGAGGATGCTGTGATGGCTGTCTCAAGGACAACACTAACAATATCAATGCATAGTTCACTGTTTCTCTCTCTTAAGCTGTATGAAATTATTGTCTTTAAGTGGGCTACTCTAAATTTCATTCAGATAACTATCCACAGATTATTCTGAAAAAAATGATCTTACCAAGATGTAACTTCAAATCTGCTGCAGACTGGGCACTTTCAATTGCTTTGCGTTTGTGCATTTCCATGGCCTGCTGTCTTAAGGCCAATTCCTTTTCAACAGTTGCCAGAGAGTTTTGTAAAATGCGCTCTTTCTCCTCCAACTTGCGTACCACTACATTAGTTGCCTCTACTTGTGTTGTGAGGGTAGCCACCTGATTTGTGAAATTACCAACATTAAAACAAACATGTAAAACTACATAAGGAAAAAATAAAGAGTACTTGTTTAGTAACAGGGACCCAAAGAGACACTGAAAGAAAACTACAGAATTTTACCAATGAAGGGTTAAGGAATGGAAAAAATCCAGTACAAACTCTATGTACAACTTATGTATCTGGTATTCTTCTGTTTGTTCCTCTTTAAGTGCTGTTTTTCTCAAAATATAGTTCTAATGGCAGCTTACATTTGATAATGATAATAAATAAATTATAGTAAAACCTTATTAATTTGATAAAAAACTATATAAAATATTGTGATTTGTAATGTTACTACAATTCCCCAACCATAAATATATGATTTCAAATGTTTTTAAGAGCAGATTAAATATAGGAAATTTTTGCTTTCTTTCAGTTCAGAATCTTTGTTGTAAGGTAAGGGTATAAAACTTGCTCTCTTATTCTCTCATATTAAGGGGAGGACATAAACAGAGTATATCCACTGTGGTCTTCTGGGTCGTGACACAAGGTAGTCCAGTAAGTGGTTACTAATGTTCCACTGAAACAGTGACCTACAATGAGAACTTTAAATTTCAAACACAATTAAGGTGTTCAAAATTTGGACCTGGGACAGAGGAAGTAACAGGAGGTTGGAGAAAACAGCATAATGAAAAGCTTTATAATTTTTACTCTTCGCCAAATATCATAGCCAACAAATGGAAGAGGATGAGACATCAGAAAAGCTGAAGGGAAATGATCACTTGGTAGGCATATATCAACGGGAGATTATTAAAATGGATCTTAAAGAAACATGATGTGAAGATGCCAAATGGATTCATCTCAATCTGGACAGGGTCCAGCAGAAGGCTCTTGTGAACACAACAGTAAACCTTTTCATTCTACAAAGGTCAGGTAATTTCTTGAATAGCTGAGCAGTGCAACCACTCAGCATCAAAAGCCATTCAAATGATAAATACAGCAATAACATTCCATTGGAAAGTGTTATGAAGCCTAAATCATACAATTTTGCTGGTTCAAATATCTTCATGAAGCGGTCATGTAAAATTATGCTGTGAACCCTCTTGTACTCATTCCAACTGCTGTGCCATTATGACTCAGCTTGTTTTGCATAACTGCAAGAAAATATAACAAGGCATACAGACAGAAATGCAACAAAATCCAAACCCCCAGTACTGTCATTATGAATAAATAATTGACAATGCTTCAAATGTTGGCTAATAACTGCATCCTTTGAGTTTAAACATGCCTATGCACTTGGGACAGCATACTGACCTGAAGTGTAACTTTCAGTACAAACTGCTTCACTGCAACACATTGTTTTTTGAATATCTGTGCCCCAGGTTAGCATTTGAACCAGACTGATATACAGGTAGCCCTCGATTTGCGCCGATTCAGAATAACGCCGATTTTGAAACCAGCAAGCCAAAAAGTGAAAAAAATAGATTTTACTATATTTATAACGTTTTACAATGTATCTCGTACTGATTCTTATACTAAATCGTAATTCTTACATCACTGATTTTGAATAAAAATTATAAATACAGTCATCTCTGCAATTACCTGTTTTGTTAACACGAATTTGCTCCAATGAGATCGATGAATCGGTAAAAGCTGTTTGTGAAATGCAAACTTTTGCATATGCAAGTTTGCTCTTATGCAATTTCATTCCTGGCGCTTCAAACTTTCAAAGGACTAATTTAATCTCCGCGGAGGTACCGGGGTTATTTTTCCTACGCAATTCTCTATAGGTTGGCGTCTTACATGAATGCAACTATCGCATAACAGCAGAGATGACTGTACACATCAATCACATGAAAGAATCACAGTCAATCGCGGGGACCAATGAACTGCCGATTGCAAGTGTATAAAATATATTTTTTAAATTCCCTTTATTTTATTTACGTTATTTCAGAGCTTTAAATGTAATGCCATTTTATTACTCATCAATGTTTGGGTGCTGGGAATGCATGTCATTGACTTCCCATTGATTTACATTATAGAAGAGCTTTAATTTCGTCCAGGAACGCATCCCCGGGGTGAATCGAGGGCTACTTGTACTAAAAACACAGCATCCTTTAAGCACAAGAAAAATGAAACATTTTTATTCTGAATGCAAACAAATTACTATATGTCAATAAATTTGTAATACTTATTTATTTACTTTTGTACTCTACCCAATTATTTCTTAACTCCTTGATAAAACAATTATATCTGACCTCCTTTTCCCACTGATATCTAAAATACAGCTATTGAACATCTACAACACGAACTTGTGCACATAAACTTCTAAACATAAAGAACTCGTATTTGTCGCACCAAGTGCCATTCTGTGCTGTTGAAGTCACTTCCCTAACTATATCTTTACTTTAACAATTGTTCCTCCACACAATTAGATAACATACCTGTTCTTTAAGAACATCCTTCTCCTCACGTGCAAGTTTATGTAACTGATTAGATTTGATACGTTCGGTCATCAATTTGAAATTTGCATCATCTTTCTCACGCAACTGCTGAATCAGCCTTGAGTTCTGCTCCTGCATATCTTCAAATGCCTGTCCTGTCACTTCCATTTCATTCAGCAATGCTTCCTCTTCCTAAAAGCACATCCACATTTTATGTTAACATTACTCTCTATATGTATAAACCAACAACAAAGGATTGCAAATTATGTTAACACAATAATGACAATTAACAAAAATATTTTTCCTTCTTTGTATTTTTATCATCCTCATGAAACTGACAAAGAATGACTTTGTTGCTCTGTTCTAGCCTAATTTGTCAAAGATTCACAAAATTCTAGCCAGTTTGTAATAGTGAGGGGTATTTTTATATTTGTATTAAAATTCTTAACTTTCAAAGTAGATTATAAAATTAGATATAAAAATGAGTCATTAACTAATCAAAACATTTTCACATAATTTTTTTAAATGCAATACCACAATAACCAACAAATGTGACAGAAACAGAAACATACAAAATAAAACCTGTCAGCCACTCCGGGATTTAAATTCAAAATGCTATGCTCATAATTCAAGAAACTTTCAATTTAACTGACACATTTTCAGTTTTAAATGTGAAGTCTCTGCTACAGGAGATCATGTAAAAGTTACGATGCCAAAGAAGTTTCAGGGAAAGTATGGTCTGTAAATACAAGGATCAATAAATAAGCAAAAACCTAACACTGAGTTTCATATGGTAACAGAAACTTTCCATTATGTACTTTCTTAAACAAAGAATTAACTTATGAAATCCTCCACTACACCAATAAAACTGTACCATCTTGACACAATGCTCATTACTGACTGCATGGTGCACCAGCCCGAAGCCGAGCCTTGGCCTCCTCCCATGTGGGAGGTTTCTTTGTCTTTTGAAGTGTACATTTATGAGTAGTGAGTGACAAGCCCACTGCCTCCGCACAACTTCTACTCAATCCTGACTTGTCTGCTACAGCCATCTAGCAGTGAACCAGGAGACTTGGGTGAGGAATGGCAGCTGAATTTTGCTTACGAAACATCTCGTTCATGCTCGTAAGGTTCTTTTACATGCCGTAATTCCAAGACATGGGACCGCCGGCTTTAACTCCCCTCCGAAGGAAGTTGTGCTATGGACTTTTATCACCCTTAAAAATCAATCGACCTCAGCCAGGTTTGAACCCACAAATCTCGGGTCCAAGTGGTAAGCACTCCTGTTCTGAACATGGGAGGTTCCAGGTTCAAATATCAGTCCAGAGGTCCTGAGGAATTTTTGTTTCTACCCAGTCCCTACAGGCAAATGACAGGATAGTAGCCATACCTTAACTCAGAGACAATCTGTTCCATAAATATATTACTTGTAGAAATACTTATAAATATACAAAGCATTCAGTCAGCGGAATGAACTACAATGCAATCTCATTAGTGCCTCAACGGTCCATGTGCATATAACAGCAGCACAGTTCATGGATGTAATTCTTACAGACTAAAACTGTTGGAAAACAGATGTTTAGGTATGAATCCAAGTATTACATTTTTCTATAACTATAACACATTCCCTGATTAAAACGGAAAAGCAATTTAAAAACAGCATTTATACAATGACTTACAGAAGCATGGATGGAATGTTTTTGGTGGTTCACTCTATATAATTCAACTTCCTGCTATCCACAGTTAACAGAGTAAATACAAATAATGTGAAGTCATGCATGTCAATGCTACAAATTTTAATCCCAGCAGAACATTTACTAATCAACGAGTGATCAAGAAAATATACAATTTTCATGATTTCATACTATCCACTGAAATGACAATAATCCTGTTAATAAATACACATTCTTTCCAACATTAATAATGTATTTATAATGCTTGTTTATACCACATGACCATTCAAAGTTACAATATTCAAGACTACTCAGGCCTTTTTTTAAATACACCAAGATCAGTTTTTTGCAGTGCCCCTTCACTGCTAGATGTGCCAACAGAATAAACTAATTAGTATCATCAATACTAGATTCTTATTGTGACAATGTATGTATTACAGATATCCTGACTCAAACAAATTTTCCTGTCTGTATGTAATAATTCAAATTGTTGTAATTTTTGGGCACATATTCCTATTAGCTTCAATATGTCTGTCTGTCTGTTCTGTAACACAAGAACTTATGGAAGAGATTTTTGCGAGACTTGAAACTGAGGAGTTCTACAATCCAAGTTGGTTAAAATTAGGCAACAATAATGGGCACTTTATGTGAAGACCCACACAGTTCTGCCAGAAGTTACCATGGGGAATCCCCAGCCATACACCCCACCTACACAACTATGTGGGGAAATCCCATAATGATGTCATCACCCAGACAGGTGCCAGACACTACCCATGCATGCAAAGGTCACTGAAGCCAAACAATACTCATGTCACTTGCATACATTAGGCAGTATAAGGGAGTATTTCTGAATGTAGACATCACAGCAGAAATAGGTAAGACAATCCAAACCAGGTTCAACCAGAAACTTCCTACTGAAACATTAAATATTCTCTGTCCACATCTTGTTCTTTTGATCACTTGTGTAAATATGGAACACTTTAAAAATGCACTTAACAGATTACAAATTACAAGAAAGCCACTTAATGGAGAAATATAATGCATACAAAAAAACTGAACATCAAGTAAAAATTAAGTAATAATACATATAAAAGAAATACAGGAAGAAATATATATGGAACTGGTAAACTAACCAGTTTTTAATTATATTACACAATGGATCAGGTGAAATGCTTAAGAGTTATAATATTGTCAGGATTATGTGGCTGAGGACAAAAACCACACACTAATTAACCTCATGAGACCAATACTACAAAAGGTACTGTACACATTTACCTGAACTATTATACTTCAGACAGGATGTTCAAGCCTGGCTTTTCATATGCAAGCACAGCTACAACTGAAGAAAAGGATTACTATTTTAAAATAGGAAACAGTCCTGTGATACTATCATCACTTTTAAGCCACCCTTTAAGTCTTGTCATTCTCCTGGCCTTACCAAGACATTACCTTATGCTTAATACAAACTATAATCTAATAATACTTTTGGCAGAATTAATTGAAAAATTAAAATGTTAACAAAAAGAATTATTGAAAAAGATTAGTATCACAAAAAAGAAGAAAAAATCAGTTAAAGAATCTACACAATAATCTGATACACTTTACAAATACAGACAAAAATAAAGAAGCAATTAAATACTGCTAATTATTTTCAAAGTTTGCCCAGAGGGTCTGAGGCATTACATTGTAGCATACTGATCCTAAAAATGCAAGGCCTCTGAAATACAGCCTGGAAATTTTATAATTTTGAAAAAATCTACAAAAGTAGTGTTTACCTAATACATGTTATACACACACACACACACCATGTAACAACAAAGACAAAATACAGCATCAAATCACATAAAGGGCTAACACAATAAGAGCACATTCTGTGAATAACCTTTTATCCTTTTTTAAATTCCTGTACTTCTGATGCTCAAGCTGTATGACAATCTGAATGCAAAGTCTTCAGAGACTGTAAACAAAAATGTCAATACAAGATAGGCAAGCAGACATCACAGAAGTTGTAAGGCAAGTCCTCTCCATTGGATTCAATGACCAGCGAGGAAGAATAATTACAACAGTTGTGTAGTTCAAAATTGCAACTACTGTTATAGAAGTTAGTACCTTAATACAAATATCTGTTACACCAGGTAGGATTTGAGGTTATCATGGTGATGATCCTGAAGATGGCTGTCTTCTGGGTTCTTGCGCCATATAGTCTGGTAGAAGTTTACTGACATTTCAGAGGTCCTTGCTGCCTCCATTATCATCGCCCTACAACACTATTTGGCACAACAACTCAGAAGACAGCCATCACCTGTTATCTTAGAATTCTATATTTCTCTTGTAGCATGATCCCAGAGAAAGACACATGCATTTATCTTTCAACTTAATAGATTTGAATCTGAAATATGAAAAAAGAATGGCAATCTGTAAATCAGTCTCTCACTTGTCTTTCTGTACATTCCTGAAAGAGTGGAAAATTTACAACAAACAAAGTTTTGATTTAGAACCACTTGGGTCATCATACTCTGCCCTACTGTAAGTGGAAGTGTGCAGCAGATGTGTTTCACGTTCTAAATTTCCACAATACCTCAGAGAAACCAGGATGAGTAACGAATTTCAGTAAGAGTGAATTTTCTACATCAGTAACTACTTCTTGCATACAATAAAGGATTTTTCAGATTTTCATTTCAACCAAACATTTCCAACTAAATACGAGACACCAAAATACTGTTATGTTATTATACAGAATGTAAATATTAAATACATACCATTTTACTGCAACACTGCTCATGAACCAAAAGGCAGAGGAATGAAAACTAAATGCAAATGAGTTTGTTATATGATCAACTTTATGATTCATGCCAATTGAGCCTCCAAACATTTCCTCCTAAAGTTCTCCACCCACAGTTGTTAAAATGGAGTTTCATACCTATTTTGGAAGAAAAGAGTCAAATTTACATGCTATTCCAACAAGATGTAGCACCCCCACATTTCCACAAGGAAGTGATGAACTTCTCAAAATCATACGTTTCCAAACAAATGGATTACCAGGAGCTGAACCATCACTTGGCAAAGTCATTTACCTGACCTGACTTTGATTTTTCCTTTTGGGGTACATCAAGGATGTTGTGTATGTGCCACCAATGGTTACCACTTTAGTGGAACTTGCTGGGAGGATAACAGATGCAGTGGTCACATTCACCCCTGATGTACTTGATAATGTATGGACTAAAACTGAATATAGATTAATCTGCTGGGCCACTCATAGTGCCCTCACTTAAGATCTGTAAAATATAGGTCATATAACCTACTCAAATGCATTTTCCAGTCTCTTAGTTCATGACCAATGTTAGAGTAAAATGGTATACATTTCATATGTACATTCTGTATTATCTGTATAGCTTAAAAGTTATTAATAGCTACAGACAAAATTTTAATATCCCACTGTTAGCTGAGGCTACTCCAGATATTCAATCTGAAGTTAAGAAAGTAAGTACATTCCAATAGCCCTCCTCTTAAAAGAACATG